TTGTTCCAGGAATCTAGAAAAATCTCCAAGGATCTATTAATTCTAGGTAAAAAAACATAATGCAAGCAAAACATATATACCATATTATTGGTAACTAAATTGTGATGTTCTTCTAAAAAAATGAAAAACTGCTGAATATACAACATTTTTTAAATCCACCCAAAGTCACTCAATACGTTGGTTATGCATAGACAATCCTGCAATAAAGCTTCCTTGATTCAATCCTCTATAATTTTCCATCCAATTTTTCACTAATATATTTTCACCACCTTTGTCTGCACGAACCCTAATTGGAATGCCAAATTTATTGCATCCATCTAAAAAATATTTCAATACTGTTTCAGAACAGTTATTACTACTACAATGTAAAAATGTAATCATTCATGTAAATCCATCAATTCCTCCATGTATAACAAATTTCCATTTGATTAATTTATGATTTCCATCAATGTGCCATAATGAATTAGGACCAGCAACATGATATACACGTCTAGGAATAATATATGCCCAACGATTAATGATCCTAAATGAATCAATATGATATAATGAATCTCTGAGTCTCTGACGATGAATTTTTATTCCTAATGACAATCATCATATTTATGAATATTCATTAAGGGGTTACACTTATCAAAATCAAGTGACACACAATTTCAAGGGATTTTTGTATGATTTGATAAGTGTAATTCCTTAATGAATATTCATGAATATGATGATTGTGATCACTACAGTCAGCATTATTACTATAGATGCTGCCCAAATCCTAAATTATTTGGGATTATGGCATCCCAAATGTACAAATTAAATTTTGGAAAGCCTATTGAAGAATTCCCAAATCCCAAATTAATTTGTACATTCCAAATTACTTTGTATGAAATCAAAATGATATTGTCACCAATTATTGTTTGGGAGAGTGTGTTAATTGATGATAACAATATAAAATTTAAGATTATGTGGATCAGAATGAATTGGCTACTAATGAATTAGTTTTATTAGCAAATAATTTTGGTTTAGTGATTTAAGAAAAATGTTTTATTTAGTCAAAACTAATTTATTAACTTATTTCTAAGTTAATTTTTATTATAAAACTTTTAAGACAAAGTTATTTTACAAGCAAGTCGAATTTGAGCAATCTAACATTCTAGCCATGATATTGTGATGTAACATTCTAACCGTGATGCTAATTTCTAAATAAAGCCAACTAATTTTAACATTATACAAATAAAAATAAAAATGTAATATATACAAATAAAATAATAAAAATGTAAGTAAATATGAATAAAAATAAAATAAGAAATAAAATATAAGGAATAAATAAATGTAGATATAAAAATAAAGTAAATAAAGTAAAAAGAAATAAAAGATTTGGTTTGGAATTAGGGTATTTTGACTAACAAAATTAGCATGTCAAATAATTTTTATATATTTGAATACCTAACACTATCAAATATCTGTGTAATAAATTACATATAATTAAATCATGATAAATGTAACAATTTATGTAAATAAATAAGAAATAGTCTAAACATTATAGTCAAACAAATTATTATTTTATTTTACTTTTTAAGTTTAGAAAAATTTGGATAGTTAAACATCATGCATACAGGCATGCTCAGTAAAAATGTAGTTTTTATTTTTTCTCACACATAAAATTTTAAATGAATAATTAATATCCCAAGGTCCACCCATTAGTTAATCAATATAACAAAACCAACTCAATTATTTAAAATCAAAGTAAATATTATCTTTGTTGATTCTTATTTATCCAGTGGTACCTGTTATGTGTATATTAATTGTTTTTATAATTAGATGAATAACAATGATGAATTGACTTCATTACAAACTAATAATCATTTAAGAAGAAAAATTGGTAGACCAAGAAAACCAATTTGGCAACATTTTACTGAAATTGGTAGCTCTAACAATAATAACAATAATAAACGACCTGGTGCAAAATGTAATTACTGTGGTCAACAATGGGCTCGTGGGAAAAGTTCTGATATGATATCTCATATTGCATTGTCATGCACTAAACCTCCACCACCTGATATACATATAAAGTTTCAAAATGTATTGCAAAATGATGAGATTAGTGAGGATGATGATGATGTAAATAATAATTCAAAAAAAAAACAAAAACAAACAAAAATTTTTGATCATCTTGAGAAAAAAACAATTACAAATGAAAAACAACTTAGATGTTCATATGCTTTAACAAAATTTTTTGTTTGTTGTGGAATTCCATTTTGGGTTGTTGAAAACCCATTCTTTGTAGATTTTATTACTAATTTATGTCCTGGTTTTCATCTTCCTAAAAGAACCACATTGTCTACTACATTTGTTAATTTAGAATGTGCAAAAGTAATTTCAAAAATTAACAATGGCCTTGTTAATGAGGTTAATCTTACATTAGGTATTTATTTATTTTATCAATAATTTTAAAAATTTGACTAAAATTTAAAATAAATCAGGTTTGGATGGTTGGACTTCTCCAGCAGGACAATCATTATATATTTTTGTAATTATGACATCAGATAGAAAAGAGTATGTACACTCTTTAAAGAATTTTTCAAAAGATTCACACACTGGAAACTTCTTATGTACTGAAATATCACGAGTTCTTAATGAAGTGGGTGTGAATAAATTTTCTGCTGTGGTCTCTGACCATGCTGCGAATATAGTTTTAGCAAAAAAATTAATTTCTGAACAATATCCTCATATAATACCAATGCGATGCATTGCGCACCACATCAATCTCTTAACTAATGATATTATGAAATTAGAATGGTCATCAAAATTAATTAAAGAATGTAGAAAAATTGTCAAATTTTTTACTAATTCACATGCTGCTGGTGAAAATTTGAGAGAGGAAATTATTAATAATCGGATAATATGTGGGGGTTTAAAACAACATGTAAAAACTAGTTGGACAACAGCATTTGACTGTACAAACTCCATAATAAGATGTAAAGTGGCAATTAAAAATGTAAGTTTTTTTTTGTTTTTAGATTTAAGTCAGTGATGTAGTTAACATTTTCTTTATATAATTTAGTTGGTAGAAAACAATTCCTATTTATTTAATAACAATATTTTGTCAATTTTGAATTGTCGTAATTTTTATCGTGATGTTGAGGACCTCCAAACAATTCTTGATCCAATTAAGAAAGCAATTGTCATGCTTGAGCATAGAAGTGCCACTCTGGCTGATTGTTTTATTTGTTTGATAAAATTGGCAGTGATTATTAAGGAATTTCCACAAAATAGAAATAATTCCTTCCAAAGAAGATGTCAGTTAGCATTTGATAAACGTTGGAGTGAGTTTAATTTTGAGCTGTATTTACTTGGTTATTTCCTTCATCCACAATTTAGAGGTAAAGTACTATTACTATGTAATAATAATTTCAATTAACAAAATTTGATTAAATAATGATCAATTTAGATAAAGGATTGCATGCCAACACTTTTTGAATGATATGTAAAAAAGCACTTTGCATTTGGAAATCTCTTGGGGGTGGCAATACTTCTGCAAATGAATTAGTTGCACAATTGTCAAATTATTCATTAAAAATCCAACCATATGATTTTGAATTTGTTCCTGAACTACATTCTGTAAAAAATTGGTGGTTGATGTGCAAACAAAAAAATAATCATATACAAAAATTGGCTTTAATGATTAATGCAATTTCTCCTCATAATGTTAGTTGTGAAAGGATGTTTTCAGTTTTAGGATGGTATATGGATAAGAGACATACTAGGTAATTAATTTACTTCTGACACTTTGAATATCATATAAATGAAATTATTTATTATTTACAAGATTCTGCTGATCAAAACAAATTTTTTTTTGTTTACTATATGATGTTCATTTTCAGATTGAATTGCTCACTTCTTGAAAATATGGCATGTATGCATTCATACTACGTTTCCAACACAAAAGATGAAATCAAAAGTGCTTATCAAGAACTGAATGAAACAGAATTTGAACAAGTTGTAATTCAATCAAATCTACACTTTTCTGGTACTTTGACTGATGAAGAAGTAGATGAAAATAGTGATGATGATGGTGGATCAGTAGAAGAAGATAATGATAATGATGGTGAGAGTGAAGAGCAATTGGCTGCATCTGAAATAAATCAAAATTTGGTAACATTTGAAGAATTGATAAATGTGGATGATGAAGAACTCCAAAATGTTTTAGGAATTGAGGTTTCTGTTGTAATTCCACCCTATGAAATTATTGAACATGGAGATCCAGAATTTGATGTAGAGTCAATTGTAGATAATTTAATGACAAGGAGATCAAAAGGATCAAACCAAAATGTTAATGTCACTAATGAATAGTAATTAATAATTGATTTTTTTTATTAAAAATTTATTATATTAAACAGTTGTGAAAACAATAGTATTTATTAAATATAAATAAAACTATGATTTTTATTTCAAGTAAATTATTATTATGAAATATGAATGATATAAAAAGTAGTTGCAAAAAGTAATCAAATTAATTTGGGATGTACAAATTAATTTGGGATGTACAAAGTAATTTGGGATGTACAAAGTATTTGGGATTTGTACATTTGGGATGTGCAAATTAATTTGGGATTTGGGAATCATGATTTTTAATTTGGGCGGCATCTATAATTTTCACCACCTTTGTCTGCACGAACCCTAATTGGAATGCCAAATTTATTGCATCCATCTAAAAAATATTTCAATACTGTTTTAGAACGGTTATTACTACTACAATGTAAAAATGTTATCATTTGTGTAAATCCATCAATTCCTCCATGTATAACAAATTTCCATTTGATTAATTTATGATTTCCATCAATGTGCCATAATGAATTAGGACCAGCAACATGATATACACGTCTAGGAATAATATATGCCCAACGATTAATGATCCTAAATGAATCAATATGATATAATGAATCTCTGAGTCTCTGACGATGAATTTTTATTCCTAATGATCTTAGTGTTCCCATAATAATATTTTGTCCAGAGAATGGTTGCTCTTGTCTAATAATTCTAACCACACCATCAATTTGTTCATTAGTTAATTGTGTATATTCACCTATATCATCAGGAATGTTTAATTCTCTTCTACGTCTTTGAATTGTTTTACTAGATATTCCAAAGATTGTAGCAATTTTTTCCCAACTAAACCCTTCTTTTCTCAAAATTCTGATTGCATTTTCACTAACTAATATTGTAGGTCTACCACTAGTACATCTATATGAAATAAACTTATTTATTGGGTTATTATTTTCTGAATTTAAAGTTTCTATTTTGGTTTCTAGTTGTCTTTTTAGGTTTATAATTTCTGGTAAAAATCCCAGAATATTATCATTGGGAAAATTAATAATAAGTTGTGTAAACATGGCTAATAAAAGATCAAGCCTTTCTATATGTAATTCAATTGAATTTACATCATCAGAGTTAAGCATTCTGTTAGCATTTTGAAGTGTATTTTGAATAAAGATTTCAAAATCCTCTCGAGAATTTTGATCCATTATAGACAATTTATTGATATTATAAAATTAAAAAAATTATCAATTAATTCTTTATTTTATAGTTAAATTATATTTTCAAGTTTAACTTGATAAATTACATAAAATTTGTCACTTGAGGATAAAACCCAAGCACTTGAGGATAAACCCTAAGTCACTTGAGGATAAACCCCAAGCACTTGAGGATAAACCCTAAGTCACTTGAGAATAAAACCCAAGCACTTGAGGATATTTTCAAGCTACACAAAAATATTGATACCAAAAATGGAAATTTTTTTTGCTTGAGGTTTATCCTCAAGTGCTTGGGTTTTACCCTTAAGGCTGAATCCTTAGGCAGTTGAGGTTCAGCCTTAAACTTTTGTCCTTGTCGGCTGACCATAGTTACACAATCACCAATATACATTTCAATTGAAAATTTTAAAGTACTATTACCCCATTTAGAAGGTGAATGGACGAATACTAATTAAACTGTGTTCAAACTTTGCAGTAATATAATCCTTTATCTTTTAAAATGTTTTCCGTATCAGATCAGATCAAACTTCCTTGACTTCAGTAATATAATAGTGAAAAATGCCAAAAGCTAAACAATGCACACTTTGTAAAGAAACTAAAACTGAAATTTTAGAACAATAAATGAAAGAAGAAGGCAACAAGGTAATCATTCTATCATTATTGTTAAATTAATAGTTTTGTATTATATATATCTGTTTCTTATTATTAGATAAATAAATGAATGCGGATAATAGAAACAAGGTGAGCTGTTCTATATATAATTATAAATAAATAGGACACACAAAAGAAACAAGGTTGTTCTATAATTGTTGCTAAATTAATAGTTTTGTATGATATCTTTATTTACATATTTATTTATTATTTATTATTAGATAAATAGGAAAGAAACAAACAATTATTGTTAAATTAATAATTTTGTATAATATATATCTATTTCGTGGATGATAATAATTTTGTATAATATGTATATATCTATCTATTTATCTATTTCGTGGATAATGGTTGTTCTATAATTATTGTTAAATTAATGGTTATTAGATAACATGAATAAAAATTTGCTTCTGATATCTATTTGACAAAAACTTGTATATTTTTATAATTGGTTAAATACTGGGCTAGCAAAAATACATGCAACGATTTAGTTGAAGCTTCCTTTTCTAAAATAAAAATTTTCTTTAACTTTGTGTAATTTATCGGGCCAATCAAATTTTCGCGATAAAATCAAAATATGATTGACGAAAATCATTACCAATTTGCCATGCTAGTTATAACGGCTGTAGCACATAATAACAATAACAATAACAAAATAATTTTAAAATGCTATTCAGTAATTTATTAGCATTAGATAGAAGCAAATTAGTATTTAAAATTTATAGCGAAATAAATAGTAATGCTTTTTCTGCATTTTCAACTATCCCTACCAGAGAAAATAGAAAAAGACATTTTTTTCAATTAGTCAATGAAGACAAAGAACTTTTAGAAAATGAAAAAGAATATTGTAGAAAAAGGTTTACTCATGAGTTTGAATTAAAAAGCGCAATATATAAATTGGGAGAATCAAAAAAATGTGACAAGTGCAAAGCAATAAAATACTCTAATAGGTTTTGTGAAAAGTGTATTAGTTTACACTTAAAGAGCCTTTTTGATAATTGGACATCTGGAAATGAGATAATTGATGGTTTCATTCAAGAATGTCAACAACTTTCATCTCTTCCAGGAAATATTGTAGAATGGATACCTTATGAGCAATTTGAAAATGTAAAAAAGTTAACAGAAGGTGGATTCAGTTCAATTTATACTGGTGTGTGGACAAGAGGAAGTATTGATGATTATGATGAAAATAAAAAAGAGTTTAATTATTTTGGAGCTCAGAAAGTAGCATTGAAATGAAATCTTTAAATAATTCAGAAAAATTTTTTTTTTGATGAGGTAATTGACCTTATTTAAACCATTTTATTTTAAATTAATTGATTTATTTATAATTACAGGCATTAAATTATCGTAAAATTAAAACTAAATTCCCAGAAAATGGAAATCATGCAATGGTTCTAAATTATCATTCAAAAGGAAATTAAAGAGATTATTTAGATTATTTACAAAGAAATCATTCAAATTTAACATTAAAGGGTGGAATTAATATTTTAAACTGTTTATGTGAGGCATTATATTTTATTCATGAAAAAGACTTGATACATTGTGATCTACACAGTGGTAATATATTAATGAGTGAGGTAATGATAGCTTTATCACAGATTTTGGATTATGTGGACCAGTTGATCAAATAGAATTTATGGAATTGTATCATACATTGCACCTGAGATATTTAAAGGAAAAAAGAACACAAAAGAATCAGATGTTTATAGTGTTGGAATGTTAATGTGGAAAATATTTGCAGGTCATCCACCATTTGATAATAGAGCTCATAATAATTGCTTAATGGTAGATATATGTGAAGGTTTACGACCACCAATATTACCAGGAATGCCTGATGACTATGCACAGATGATGCAAAGATGTTGGGACATGGATCCAACCAAGAGGCCAACTGCAGGAGAGCTTTGGAACTTTCTGTTAATATTTTTATGACTGCAAGTTTTAATGAAAATAGCAATGTTATTGGCAGTGGTGGTGATAATAATAGTGGTAGTAGCAGTAGTAGTAATAATAAGAATAGTAATGATAATAGTAATTCACAACAAATTTATAAATCACATCCATTTGCATACCATACAAGTAGAATATTAAATGATGAAATTGCTAAATTAAATTTAAGTAATGATAGCTTATTAAATTATGAAATATAAATTTAATTAATTGAAGTTTATTATTAATTAAAAACAATAATAAAGGATAAAAAAATAGTTGAAAGGAAGGTTAAAATTTTAAAAGTTGATGGATAAATTTTTATTTATATTATTTAAAATAAAAAGAAATGAAAAATTATACAAAGTGACCCATCATCTGACTTTAAATAATTTCACAGATAATAAAATTTATAACTGTGAAGTAATTCGGAAGTATCTTACTTTAAAGTAGAGCATGGTCTTGATTATACATGGGATGGTTATTATTTTGCCAAAAACGTAATACGTAATTACGAAATTACGAAATCAATTACGGGTGACGAAATTAATTACGTGTGATGAAATCAATCACGAATGACGAAATTAAATGACACCTATTATCTATCTCGTTATACTAGTATAATGACATAATTTGTCAACTTTTTTTAGAATTATAGAATTTATTCTGTTATAACGACATGTCAGTATAATGGGAGAACCAATCAAAGTCATTCCATATAATCATTTCTGAAAAAACATAAGGAAATTAAAACTTACGCCGGTTGATCTTTTGAACGAAGGTGATGGTGATGACCAAGTACAACAAACAAGTTGGTTGGCATCAATTTTTAGGTTGCACGGGTAGATAATTGACGTGAATCGGGAGAAATCTTTTGTGAAACAAAAAATACACTATTATTATTATTATTGCCTTCATTTATAAAATGTCTTCAAAAGAAACTATTTATGATGCATTCAAAAAACCGAAAAATTTAATATCACCACCAATATCAGAATGGGAATTTGGCGTAGGAAATATTCCAGCACCATATCCTTATTCATTTAAGCCTGAAGGTTTTTTATTTATTCCTTAATTATTGTAGTTGT